AAGATACACACACAAAGACACACACACTAACAAACAGGCTTAGCAAGAGACACACACACAGACACACACACTAACAAGCAGGCAGAGCAAGTGACAAAAACACGCACACACGAAGTGACTTAAAGACGCGAAATACAAATTCTAGCCGTATGGGATTGTTGGGCCAAGTGCTGTTTGCGATCACCTATTAAGGCCGGCAAGGCGTGAGAGATGGAGCGGTGTGATCATTATTACACACTGCACCGGGGTCGTCATTTAAGGCCGAGTTGACCTGGAGGAGGAACTACGTGGATCAGATGTAAATTGCGAATCATGAAAGCTCTGGTTCGGGTCATACAAATGGAGCATCGTGAAAGCTGATGCAGTCCAAACGTACGCACAGAGATGCAAAATCATACAGACGCATCTCTCAAAATACACATACCGATTATATGCACATACATAAAGGTTATCCGTATGTATGTTGAACTTCTTTCGCACCGTACGTAGCCAACCGTGCTAATCGGAGTTGCATCAACACACGCACAAAGACACAAAGGGAGACACGCACAGAGTGTAACACACACACACATACACTCACAAGATCTCTCGCACACAAAAGGACACGCACACAATGACATTCTCTCTCACCGATACAAGACACACACACAGAGTCTCTCATACACAAATGCACGCGTACACACAAACAACACAAGGCGGTTGTGCAAGGCTAGGTGCACTTTGCTTTACACACGCACACACATACACACACACGTACGCGTGCATGCTCACGTACGCAGAGACGTACACACATACGAAGATCCCCGTGTAGCCTTAACAGACTTTGAGGGCAAGTGCTGTTAGCGAGTGGCACATGAGGGGGGTGGATAGCCAGCGCCAAGCTCGGCCGCCTTTGTCTCCCCAGTGGTGATATATTTAGAAATCACACCAGATACTAATTTAGGCTGAGTCGACCTAGGGGATGCCCACGACGGGTTCAGATAATCGTCAATGGTGCCGGTGGCCGTGAGCGGGAATCGAACTCGGGTCGCCGGGTTTGCAGCGTAGCGCTAACCACTGCACGACCGCTCCCCACACACGAACACACACAAAGACAAAGATGCCCCGTTTAGCCTGAACAGACTGTAGGGGCAAGTGGTGTTAGCGAGCACCTATGAAGGCCGGCACGGCACACGAGGGGGTTGGGGGTGGCCAGCACCACGCCAGACCGCCTTTGTCTCCCCAGTGGCGATGTTTACTACACACCGCACCAGCTAATCATTTGAGGCTGAGTCGACCTAGGGGATGCCCAGCACCGGTTCAGATAATCGCCACTGGTGTTGGCCGTGAGCGGGAATCGAACTCGGGTGGCCGCTACACTACCGCTCCCCACACACACACACATATAGAGAGACACACACACATAGAGACACACACACACACATAGAGACACACACACACACACACACGCACACACAGAGACACACACACACACACACATAGAGACACACACACATAGAGACACACACACATAGAGACACACACACATAGAGACACACACACATAGAGACACACACACATAGAGACACACACACAGAGACACACACACACAGAGACACACACACACATAGACACACACACACACACATAGACACACACACACACACATAGACCACACACACATAGAGACACACACACACATAGAGACACACACACACATAGAGACACACACACACATAGAGACACACACACACATAGAGACACACACACACACATAGAGACACACACACACATAGAGACACACACACACACACACATAGAGCCACACACACACATAGACACACACACACATAGAGCCACACACACACATAGACAAAGACAAAGACAAAGATCCCCCGTATAGCCTGAACAGACTGTAGGGGCAAGTGCTGTTAGCGAGCACCTATGAAGGCCGGAACGGTACACGAGGGGGTGGGTGGCCAGCACCACGCCCGACCGCCTTTGTCTCCCTAGTGACGATGTTTACACACCGCACCAGGTACTCATTTCAGGCTGAGTCGACCTAGGGGAGGCCCAGGACCGGTTCAGATAATCGTCACTGGTGTTAGCCGTGAGCGGGAATCGAACCCGGGTCGCCAGGTTCATAGCGCAGCGCGCTAACCGCTACACTACCGCTCCCCACACACATAGACACACACATAGAGACACACACACATACACGCACACACAGACACACACACACAGACACACACACATAGAGACACACACACAGAGACACACACACACACATAGACACACACATAGACACACACACACATAGAGACACACACACAGAGACACACACACAGAGACACACACACACATAGACACACACACATAGACACACACACACACATAGAGACACACACACATAGCATAGACACACACACACATAGAGCCACACACACACATAGACACACACACATAGACACACACACACACACATAGAGACACACACACACATAGAGACACACACACACGTGCCTCCAAAAATTGTCAAAAATCCATCCGAATCCGTGTCCATTGTTTTCCGCGCCTAACAATGCGGATGAAAACTCCCGGCGAGCGCGCGCACGAGAGCAGTTTGTTCGTAGAGTATTTACATTTTAATTGACCTTGCACAGAGATGCAGATCTCCGTCGTATGCTAATCATCTTAATGGGTCGGAGTGTGGGGAGGGATGAGAGAGTAGGTAGAGGTTGAATATGGATTGTATGTATGTACAAATGTATGCCTTGGTGCGGCATTGTGCATTGATGGGAGGTGGGGGGGTGGTGAGGGGGGTGGTGGGGGGGGGGGGGGGATGACGGCTCTGCTTCGCTCCCTCCCACCTCACCCCCCCACGTCTCCATCTCTCCTCCCGCCTCCCCCTCCTCCCACCCTTTTCCATTCCATGACCTGTCTGCGCCGTCCAATCATAGCAGAGTTCTAGGAAATTAATTGATGAAGGTATATAGCAGTGGAGAGAGAGAGGAGAGAGACCGGGTATTCTCGTCTGGTCGCCAGCAGTGATACAGCTTCCCCGTCTGTCTCCGCTCTCCCGTGATGATGACGGTGGTGGTGATGATGGTGATCGTGATGGTGATGATGGTGGAGACGCCGTGTTCGCCCTCTTACACCCTGCATCAGACGCGGAATGAGTGAACCACTTCACTGCTCAACCCACCGGAGCTACTACGACGACTACTGCTGCTGCTACTACTACTACTGCTGCTACTGCTGCTGCTGCTTCTACGAGGTACGCGCGCGTCCCCCACTGCGGGGAACGGTGGTGCAGCGGCTGAGTAACCCGGCGCGGTGTACACACGTGGCCACTTGGGGGAGACAAAGGCGGTCGGGGGGGGGCAACGATACTCCTCGTGTGTGCCGTGCCGGCTGTCGAAGGTGCTCGCGCTTAACAGCACTTGCCCCAAAAGTCTGTTCAAGACTATAGGTTGATCTTTGTCTTAATGTATGCGGTCTCTTAAAGCTATATGGATATCTTTACACGTGTATATATATATATACACACCCGTATATATACACAGACACATACGTTAAAGCGTGTATTTAAAAAAAAATCTATGTTATTTTGGGTAACGTCCTGAAACGTCGAGTTATTACTTTCAATTGCTCCGCGCCAATTGGAAAGCCGCGGAACGATCTGCTCGCACGCGGCCGCCAGCACCACCACCAGCACCACCAGCACCACTATCACCACCAGCACCACCATCAGCACCACCACGAGCACCAGCCCCACCAGCACCACCAACATCACCACCACCAGCAGCACCAGCACCACCAGCACCACAACGACGAGCACCACCACCATAGGGAGATTTGGCCGAATTTCCCAATCACGGGCGAAGGCAGGGGTTGACAACGGGAGGAGTTTGGACAATCTCTTGCCACCCCCAGCCAAGTGTGTCTCCCCCATGTCCTTACAGCTTTGTAGGGTTTTTGTTGAGTTTGTGTGTTTTTTCGTAGCAGATAAACGAATAGCGCCAATTTGACGAGACGCATTCCCAGCCTGCCGGTGCAAATAGCCGCAGTGTGTGTGTGTTTGTTCTCTCTCTCTCTGTGTTCTGGCTGCGAAGTGCTTTCTTCACGTTCGTTACATCATCGTTGCTCTCTTCGTGAGCTCAACTATCACTCCAGCGATCGAGGAAAACACGTGCGCACACACGCACAAGCATCGTAACACATACCGTGACACACGCACACACACCGTACCACACACACATCTTAACAAAGACACACACACACATCGATGTTACGAATGCGGCGACAACTCCCGACGTAGTGGTGTGTGAGTCTGCGCTGAGCGAGTCGGCGCAATCCCCACGTGGTAGGGCGATGGTGGTGGTGGTGATGGTGATGGTAGTGATGGTGGTGGTGGTGGTAGTGGTGATGGTGGTGGTGGTGGTGGTGATGGTGGTGGTGATGGTAGTGGTGATGGTAGTGATGGTGGTGGTGGTAGTGGTAATGGTGGTGGTGGTGATGGTGGTAGTGGTGGTAGTAGTTCTGATGGCGGTGCTGGTGGTGGTAGTAGTGGTGATGGTGGTAGTGGTAGTAGTGGTGATGGCGGTGCTGGCAGTCGTGGTGATGGTGATAGTGGTGATGGTGGTGGTGATGATGGTGGTGGTAGTGCTCAGGGTGGTGGTGCTGGTGATGGCGGTGCTGGTGGTAGTGCTGATGGTGGTTGTGGTGGTGGTGGTAGTAGTGGTGATGGTGATAGTGCTGGTGGTGGTAGTAGTGGTGCTGGTGGTAGTGATGGTGGTGGTGGTAGTGCTGGTGGTGGTAGTAGTGCTGGTGGCGGTGCTGGTGGTGGTAGTAGTGGTGATGGTGGTAGTGGTGCTGGTGGTGGTAGTAGTGGTGCTGGTGGTAGTGGTGGTGATGGCGGTGCTGGCAGTCGTGGTGATGGTGATAGTGGTGATGGTGGTGGTGATGGTGGTAGTGGTGAGTGGTGCTGGTGGTAGTGGTGATCATCTCGCGCCACTCACCGATCACGATGCGTTGCAGCAACGGCGGCATCCACTTTCCAACTCCCCCCCCCCAAACCCACGTTCAGCCTCCCGAGCAAACACTCCTCTTATCGTAATTTGCTGTTGTCTACTTCTTTCGCCGTCCTCATCCCTCCTCGCCATCCCTCCTCGCCATCCCTCCTCGCCATCCCTCCTCGCCATCCCTCCTCACCACCCCTCCTTCGCCCCCTCTCCCCGCCAGGCACCCGATGTCGTGCGAGCGAGACACCGTCCCCGCGTCGGGCTTCGCCCGCGTAAACGGCGCGACCCTCGGCTACCTGCTGGTCGACGGCCGCCAGATGTTCGCCCTGGCGCAGGTGTTCACCGACCTCCTGCGCCACGTGCCTCGCACCACCGTGCACAAGCGCATGGACCGCCTGCGCGTGGCCAAGCAGCGCTGCGGCCTCGCAGGTCTGCGTCGTCTCAAGGCCATCCGCTCGGTGGCCCTGCGCGCCGCCAGGTGCACGCTCATCTCGCGCGCGGACGTGCGCCTGCTGTGCCGCTCGTGTCGCGCGGAGCGCGTCCTCGGCGCGGCCAAGCGACGACGACGACGCCTCCTCCTAGTCACCTCCTCCTCCACGGCCGCCGCCGCCGCAAGGGAAAACTTCGCCTCCAGCGGCTCCAACAACAACTCCAATGACTCCAGCGGCTCCACCAACAACGCTTCCATCATTGGGAACGAAGCGCGGTCGGCGCTCGCGCGAGGTGGGAGCGCGTGGCGAGTGGCGGCGGCGGCAGGAGGAGGAGGAAGAGAGGACGCGGGGCCGGTGGCTGCGACGAGAGCGCGCCCCGTCGTGCCCGGAGGCGGCTCCACTCCTCCCGGCAGGTCCGGCGCCTCTCCCCCGAGGCCGCCCCGCGAGTCGCCCTCTCGGCCGAGCGCCGCGGCTGAGAGGGGTCCCCGGCGGCGGCAGTGGCGGCGAAGGTGGCGGCCGGGAGGGAAAGAGGCCGAGAGGTCGGGACGCGGGGAGAGAGATGGAGGCGGCGGCGGTGGAGACATCAAATGCGCGGCTCCGGCCCACCGCGGCCTCTGGCTGTCGAGCTGCCGTGAAGACGCAGCAACAGCAGCAGCTCTAGCAGCAGCAACAGCAGCAGCAACAACAGCAGCAATAGCAGCCCCAGCCCTAGCAGCAGCAGCTCCGGCTGACGGTGGTCGAGTGTGTCCGGGCCGGGAGACTGTGAGCGAGCCCGCAGGGAGCGAGGAGGAGGAGGCGACGGCGCCAGAAGCAACGCGCGGCGGGATCGACAGCAGCAGCATGAGTCTCTCGTCTGGAATCTCCGAGGAGGAGGATGACGATGATGACGGAGAAGACGAGGAGGGTGAAGTGACCAAGAGTGTGCAGCAGCAGCAGCAAGGCTTCGACTACTGCGACTCGAGCGAGGAGGATGAGGATGATGATGATGATGAGAGCTCGTGTAGCTACGGCTCGGGCTCGAGCTCGGCCTCGAGTCGCGCGTCCCTGCACAGCATCCGCTACCGGCGGGCGGGGTTCGGCGGCGGCGGTAGCAGCAGCAGCAGCAGCGATGGCGGAGAAGGAGGAGTGAGAGTCGGCTTCGGCTGCCTGCCTCCTCCTCTTCATCCTCCAGCTCCTCATCACCACCATCATCCTCTTCATCCTCCAGCTTCTCTTCATCATCACCACTATCCTCTTCCTTCAGCTCCTCTTCATCACCATCATCCTCCTCTTCATCACCATCATCCTCCTCTTCATCACCTCCATCATCCTCCTCCTCCAGCTCCTCATCACCACCATCATCCTCCTCTTCATCATCGCCACCATCCTCCCGCTCCTCCTGCGCGCCCCGGCCGCCCGTTCCCCGCGTCCCCGTTCGGCTTCCCGCAGTTCGCGCAGTTCGCCTTCGCCGGCGCCGCCTTCGGCAGCCGCGTGCGCACGGAGCCGAGTGCCGCTGCCGCGCCGCCTCGCCATGACCCGCGAGCGCGGCTCAGCGAGGCAGGAGCAGGAGGAGGTGGAGGTGGATCGGCGGGTAATCCGTGCGCCTTCCTCGGCTGGAGATCCGTGGCGGAGCCGTCGCCTCGTGTGTTCGGATCGGCCTGTACAACAACAACGACAGGAGCAGTGGCATCAGCGACATCGTCACCCTCCTCCTGCTGCTCCTCGTCTTTGTTGTGGTCTCTGTGCGCCGCGTTCGCGGAGCGCGCCGCGTGTGCCTCGCGGAACCCCTCCGGGGGTGCCCGTGGCGCTGCCTGCAGCGAGGCCCAGGCGAGGCTGCGGCAGTCGCTCGGCTCGTCGACGTCGTCAACGTCGTCGTCGTCATTGACGTCGTTAAAAACGAGAGCGTCGGCAACGTCGCCACTTGCAGCCCCATCATCACCACCGCCGCCGCCGCCATGGTCGTCATCATCATCATCGCCACCATCGTCGTATTTCGCGTCGTTGTTGGACGGTCGCGGCGCGGAGCCTGCGCTCACTACGGCGAAAGCGAAAACATCATCGCCATCAGTATCATCATCAACATCACCATCAGTATCATCACCATCATCACCGCGGACATTAACGGTAACAGCAGCGGCAGCGGCGGCAGCTCGCTCGCCCAAAGTGCGGATAAAGAAACCCTTACAATGCCCGAGTCCTGCCGAGCTGCTCGCGTCTCCTCCGAATCATCGCCACCATCCCGCTCCTCCTCCTCCTCTACCTCCTCCTCGTCCTCTTCCTCGTCGCCGTCATCGCCCACCTCGCCCAGCTTTCCCCCCTCGTCGCCCGCGCGTGGATGCGCCGCTCACGGTCGCCTGCCACGTGGACTCGCGGATTCTTTGTCTCGAATCGCGACGCCGGGCGCGCTCGCCACGCCGCCGAGACCCGGGCGACGAGGCCGTCACGGGGGAGGCGGGAGACGAGAGCTCGCAAAGGGGTGCCCAGGGTCACCCGGGGACACGAGGCTGGGGTCGAACGACCGAACCCGCTCGGTCCCGTCGCGGAGCCGTCGGGGTTCGTGTGTGGGAGACGGTGGCGGTGGGAAAAGCAGCAGTAGCTGCAGCAGCCGCAGCAGAGGCGTTCACAACAACAATAGCCAGCAACGGGGACGGTGGCTATAGCAGCTGTAATAGCAGCAGCAGTAGCAGCAGCAGTAGCAAAATAATGAACAGCAGCAGCACCACCACAAAGAGAATTCAAAGCAACATCACAAATATAATTCACAACAGCAACATCACAAATGCAATTCATAGCAGCAGCATCACAAATTTAATTCACAACAGCAGCAACATCACAAATGTAATTCACAACAGCAACATCACAAATGTAATTCGCAGTAGCAAGAGCAGCAGCAATAGAATGAACAGCAGCATCACACGTGTAATTCATAGCGGCAGCAAAAAAAACAGCAGCAGTAATAAAAGTCGTCTCAAACGCAGCAGCAGCAGCGGCAATGCAACTCATGGCAACAAGAGAGTTGATAGCAGCAACAGCAATAGCGACACGATCCCTAGCAGCATAACGATGAGCAGTAGCATCAGAAATACGACTGCTATCAGCAGCAGTGCAATTCGTACAAATATCGATAGCGTTAATAGCAACAACGACACGACCAATAGCGGCACCGGTATAATTGATATCAACAGCAGAACAATTCGTACACACGGCAAGATAATTCATAGCAGTAACAGCAGCAGTGTAATTCCGAGAAAGAGCAAAGCAATCCCTATCAACATCAATACAATCCATAGCATAAGCAGCAATAGCAATACAACTGATAACAGCAGAAACAGGAGCAAGAGAATACATAGCAGCAGCAACAATATTAATAGCAGCACTAGCAATGCAATTGATATCAGTAGCGCAAAAACTGTTAATGCCAAAATCATTAACAACAGCAAATGCAGGTCTAGTCAAAACAACAACAGCAGTATCTGCAGCAGCAGCAGCATGGATAGCTGTGGCAGTAACAACTGCAGTCACGCCAGCAGTAGCGACGGCGGTGACAGCAGCAAAGGAAGCAGCAGCAGCAGCACGATCAGCAATGAACACAACAGCATCGACGACGATAGCAGCAACAGCAGCGGTTACAATAGCAGACACAGCCACGGTGCCATCAGCAGCGGCAGCAGTCACAATAACAGCAGTAGCAGCCATAATAACAGCAGCAGTTGTATCAGCAAGTGCAGTAGCAACATCATCACTCACAATAGCAGCAGCAGCAAGCGTTGCAGCAGTAACAGCATCACTCACAATACCAGCAGCAGTAACAGCATCGCTCACAATACCAGCAGCAGCAGCAAGAGTTGCAACAGCATAACTCACAATAGCAGCAGCAGCAAGCGTTGCAGCAGTAACAGCATCACTCACAATACCAACAGCAGCAGCAACAGCATTGCTCATAATATCAATATCAGTAGCAGCAAGATCAGCATCAGCATCACTCACAATACCAACAGCAGCAGCAAGCGTTGCAGCAGTAACAGCATCACTCACAATACCAACAACAGCAGCAACAGCATTGCTCGTAATAGCAGTAGCAGCAAGATCAGCAACAGCATCAATCATAATGGCAACAGCAGTAGCAGCAAGATCAGTAACAGCATCACTCACAATACCAACAGCAGCAGCAACAGCATTGCTCATAATATCTATAGCAGTAGCAGCAAGATCAGCAACAGCATCAGTCATGATGGTAACAAGAACAACAGCAGCAACAACAACAGCAGCAACAACAGCAGCAGTGACGGCAGTGCGCTGGTGCAGCAGGGAGACAAGGCGATGTCCCCCCGCAGGAGCCTCAGGCAGTCCAAAACTCGCGCTCCTCATCCTCCTCCTCTGCTGCTAATGAAGGAGGAGGGTGACGATAGTGGTGGTGGTGACGATGATGATGGTGGCGATGATGGTGATGATGATGGCGGCTCCTCCACGCGGGAGGTCATCGCCTGGCCCAAGAGGCGGCGAGCCGCTCCCCCCACTCCTCCTCTTCCTCCATCGCACCATCTGGGCGCCTCGAGCGCACACGCCCGGGGTCAGACGGCGGTGGGAACTGGAACATTCGCTGGGCCAGGCTCTGGGTCAGTTGCTGGGCCAGGCTGTGGGTCAGGTGCTGGGTCAGGCTGTGGGTCAGGTGCTGGGTCAGGTGCTGGGTCAGGCCTTGGGTCAGGCTGTGGGTCAGGTGCTGGGTCGGGTGCTGGGTCAGGTGCTGGGTCAGGCTCTGCGCTGGTGCCAGGATCGAACCCCGCTCACACGGGAGCGGGGGCCGCTGCTTCTGCTGGTGCTGCTGCTGGTGCTGCTGCTGGTG